AAACTGATTGCACCACACACTACCACCACCACCGACTATGGCTAGTAGAGACATTATGTATTCACACCACCACAAGAGAAGCCACAGTTTTCATAGGATATTTGTTTTTTAAAGGGTACTGGTAGAGTTGTGGTTACAAGTCGGGCTGCTAAGGTCAGCAGTTCGAAACTAAAGTCAGCAGTTTGAAACTACCAGGGGTTCTGCGGGAGAAAGATGAGGCTGTCTCCTCCCGTAAAGATTACAGCCTTGGAAACCCTATACAGGGGTCGCTATAGGTCAGAACTGACTCAACGGCACTTAACAACAACAACAATTAGATTAAGACCAGTGTATTCCTGAGCGAACTTGTCTAAGCCATCCACTGATCACAGAAACTTGTTTAAGGGTGATTTATTTGGAATAAAGCTGTGTGTATATGAACTGGAACCTTAAGTAGCAATACTTTTAGATCGGATATTATGTTGGATAGGAAAGATACAAAGATTTCTAAGTCTTAGTCCTTAGTTTATGTCCATTCTGTAATAATTAAGAACAGATTCACCAAGTGATTAAGAAAACAAATATTAAAAACCACCAAGAAACCCAAGTACTTTTCCTTATCTTTTCTTGTTACCATCTAATGAACTCTTTTCTTCTTTCACCCTCTACGTGTGCTTCCATAGGTGTTGAGATTATTGTTACTTTTCCAGGAGATGTCTGTCATCCCCAAGAAAGGAATCAAGAAGATCCCAAAGAAAACAAGTAAGGAATATTCTTTGAAATGTTAGATTGAGATTTACATATCAGTGATGATACTTGTGTGACAACCTACATTCAAGCCCAAAATAATGATCAAGAGCAGGGGTCACAATAAATCTTACTGTGGCAGTCAGATAGTAAATATTTGGGGCATTTTGGGCCACCCAGTCTCTGTTGCAAAGATTCAACTCTTGTCATTGTATCACCAACATAAGTGGAACTGTGTTCCTGTAAAATTTCGGCTTCAAAAACAGGTGGCAGATGCAATTTTTTTTAGTTTGCTGACGTGTTTGAGAACAGTGCTGCCCAAAATGTGGTCCTGTGGCCCTTCTGGTACCAGTTCATGATGATATCGGTTCAGAACTTGAGGGTAACCATCTAGAAAATTTAACACATTTGATCATTTGACAAAATAATTTTATGTTCATCGCTTTAGTTTTGGGGCTTTAGTTTTTGCCTATTTTTATGTCTTACTTCAGTTTTACAGTAATGCATGTTTATAATATTTTCAAAATTAACCATCCATAATGGATTAGGAAATGTAAAATTGGTTTTTCACCGGAGATAGTTTGAGAAGCACTGGTGTATCCAATCTGGCGAAGTAAAATGTCCCTCCCATGCCTTCTCTGTGCACCTCTGATTTCTCCCTCAAGGATATGGAAAGAAAGTGGTCCTAAACCTTGTCCATTCAGGCAACTGTACTGAGGACAGTCAAGGGTGGGGGTGACTAGGAGTATGGACAGGTCTTGCTGCTTCAGAAGTCCAGTGATTTCATTCAGCAGTGCCATTTGGAAACAGTTCTCCAAACTTTCTAGTGTTATCAGGCTGTATTGAGAACGTGAGACCCAGAAGGAGCGGGGAATCAACTTTAAATCAAACCGTTTTCCACCTTTTTAGTCAGAAAACCTTAGCACATCAAGAATGGACACGAGCACATTCTGTTTCTTTCCCCAGTGAAATTGAGATGGTGGCGCCGAGGACAAAGACTCTGGGGATGCAGTCTTTCATTCTGGAGAAAGAGGAGAGTTCCAGGGAGCTCTGTGATGTGGATTTGGGCTTCGTGTTGCCAAGATCTTGTTTAGAACCAAACATCTCCAAGTCTGTAACCAGAGAAGAAGCTCCTCACTTAATAAAGGCGAAACAAAGAAAATCTGAAGGTAAATTGGACAGGGATTCTTTGATTCTTTCAGTCAATAGATATTTAGCAAGTGCTTACTGTGTTCCAGACATTCTTCTAAATGTTGAAGGCACAGAAGTGTGCAAGGCAAAAACAGTTTGGAGATATTTTCCATAGTAGGTTACTTGTAGAATTTCATATAAATAGAGTAGCATAGCATATACTTTATCTTCATACAAATATAACACATACATTTTTGGCAAACTTTGTTATTTTCATAAGCAGACCATGCCATTTTTTTTTAAACCTATTATAAGCATGTAACTAAGGTGACTATGATCATTGAACAAAGACACTGACACTAAGAAGGCATGACTGAATGATGAAGTAAGCAGATCTGACATAATCACAGAGGAATGTTTGTAGAGTAGTAGTTACTCATTTGAGAGATAGTAAAAGGTCAGCAGTTTGACCTCACTAGCTGCCCTGCAGGAGAAAGATGTTGCAGTCTGCCTTTATAAAGAGTTACAGTTTTGGAACCCCTGTGAGGCAGTTCTAATCTGTCCTATAGGTTCTTTAAATTGGAACTGACTCGGAAGCAATGAATTTGGGTTTGATAAGGTTTTCACATTCAGCTGTTCAGCTATTGTGCTATACTATTAATAGAAACATGCACTGTGTTGATGATTTATTTTCCAGTTACTGGGGGACTAGCAAACTCAATCTATGACTTTTGACCAAGGCTTATACCTTTATTTTACAAGTACGTTCAAAAGTAATATTCTGAATTATTTTTATGTATAAGAAATTAAGGAAAATTAAAAGAGTTGAAATAAAATGAACAGACAAAAGAAGATGAACAGAATAAGTTTTACCTGTAATATGGGAGGTTGGATGGATGAAGCTAAAATTCACTTATGGAAATGTCATAAGACATTTGTGATATATGCATGGGCTTTCTAAAACCAGGAATATTTTACTTAATTTCATTATTTCCCTATGTTATATGTGTGGGCATGTTATTTGTAAAGATATGGTACTTATTTATGTAAGGCGTTTTTCACTTCGTTTGATTTTTCAGATTAATTAGTCTGGTTTTGTATATCAATAGTTCATTCCCTTTTATAGCTGACTAGGACTTCTGGAGTGGTGCTGTAGGATCAGCACTGTACTGCGAACCACAAGGTCAGCAGTTCAAACCCACCAGCTACTCCTTGGAAACCCTATACAGGGTCATTATGAGTCAGAATAGACTTAATGGCACTTAACAACAACAGTATTACATTAAGGAGAACTGATAGCATAGTTACTGGATCATAGGGTGGGTGCATGCTTAGTTTTTAAGAAACAGAGCTTTTGCCAAAGTGGGGGTAACATCCTACATTCCTACGAACAATAAATAAAGCTCTGTTTCTTCATAGCCTCACCAGCATTTGGTATTATTAGTATTTCTGATTCTAGCCATTCAGTTGCTGGGCAAGTGATAATCTCATTTTAATAGTAGTAGTTTATCATTGTAATCCATCCATTTGTTTTCTTTTTAATTTTTTTTTTATTTCAGCAGTTATATTTTATTCCTATGGTGGTGGTGGTGATGTGCCGTGGAGTTGGTTCTGACTCATAGAGACCCTGTACAGGGTTTCCGAGGCTGTAAATCTTTACGGGAGCAGAAAGCCTCATCTTTCTCCCGTGAAATGGATGGTAATTTTGAACTGCTGACCTTGTGGTTCGCAGCCCAATTCGTAACCACTACTCTACCAGAGCTCCTTTTTATTCCTTTAAGTTTCTTATTTTTGTCAAATATGTTTTGTTCATTATTGAGAATGTCTTGTTTTGATTTTTCTCTAAATTTGTTTAAGCATTTAATATATCGTTTTATATTCCAATATGTAACATCATTAACGATCCAAATTGTACTGTTAGTTTTTATATAAAGATCTGGATAGTTCCTTATTGTTAATCAATCTCTCTCTTTTTAAAAAATTACTTTTCATTGTGAACTGAGTGACGGTTTACAGAGCAGATCATCAGCTCCACCTTCAGCAGATCATATCTTTTGCTTCATTACAATGATTGCAGTCCCCTCCATGAACTAACAGTTAACAGCATTTACCTCTATTCACTTTAACTATTGTATTCTTCCCTGTGTCTCCTGCTACCTTCATCTTTCTTCTGCTAACATCTCTCTTATTGAATAGTGCCTGTCCTGTCACCCATGAATAATTTTCCCTCCTTATCCCCTGCCCCCATAACCATCATAGATCATTTCTCTTATTAAGAAAAACTTTTTCTTAACCTTTTACAACATTGGTCTCATATAATAGATGTCCTTTTGTGATTCATTAATTTCATTCAGCATAGTATCTTCCAGGTTCACCCATGTTGTAAGGTGTTTTACAGATTCCTCGTTATTCTTCAACATTTAGTAGTATTCCATTGTATGTATACCAAAGTTTGTTTAACCATTCTTCCATTGATGGGCATTTATGTGTCTCCTGCACCCTGAATATTGAAGGATCCTTTTTTCTTATCTATCCTTCTCTTTTGGTCTCTTTACTGGTGCATTTAATCAATTTATATTCAGTGTAATTATTAGATATGAATTGATTGCTGTCATATTGCTGCGTGTTTGTGTGTGTGTGTGTGTGTGTGTGTGGTACTTCTGATTTCTTTGATCCACATAATTTTCTGTGCTGAGTTCATTTTGTTTGTGAGTTTCCTTTTCATTTTTATTTCTGTTGTGTTAATGTTTACAAAATCTGATTTTCCTCTTTTTTTATTTTGATCTGCAGGTATATTCATTGGGAAGCATTCTGATTTTTTCATCATATTTGAGGAACAGTTTTGCTGGATATACAATTCTTAGTTGACATTTTTTTTATTCTTTCAGAGTTTTGTATATGTCATCCCATTACCTTCTTGCCTGCATGGTTTCTGCTGAGAAATCAGAATTTAGTCTTATTGGTTCTCCTCTGTAGGTAACTTTCGTTTTTCTTGCGCTGCTCTCAGGATTCTTTCCTTGTCTTTGGTTTTAGAAAATTTTATTATGATATGTCTGGTAATTTTCTTTTGAGATCTATCATGTTTGAGGTTCATTCAGCTTCTTGTAGGCTTATCTTCTCACCTTTCATGATGTTAGGGAATTTGATAATTTTCTCTGAACTTTTTATTGTCTTTTCCTGTTCTGGAATTCTAATCACATATAAGTTGTTCTTTGTGGTGTCCACATAACTCTTAGGCTTTCTTCTGATTTTTTGTTTCATTCATTTAAATGATTGTTCTTCTAACATACTAGTATTGGGAGATTTATCTCCAAGCTTCCTAATTCAGGCTACCATTACTTCAAATCTACACCTTTGCCCTTTCAATACATTGTCCATTTCTGAGATCTTAGAATTAATCTTCTGGATTTCTAATTGCAGGTTTTGCATTGTTTCAAAATTTGCATTTATTTTGTTTGTTCTTATAGTATTTTCCTGAATTCTTTTAAAAAAAATTTTCTGTGTTCTTGCTTTTCTCAATTTTTCTGTCAATCTTTTGTTGTTGTTCTTATTAAGTGCTGTTGAGTAGGTTCCAACCCATTGTGACCCTGTAGAGGGTTTTCAATGAGCGACTGGTGAGTTTGAACTCCAACCTTACAGTTCAAACTGACTTTGCAGTCTAGCGCATTAACCCACAATGCCACACCAGGACTACAATCTTTTGTAGGTACCTAAATATCATTTTTTAAAATTCTTTTCCAGGTTATTTCCACTATCTTTTCTTCCTCAGAAACATTTCATGGCTCTGCATCTTGGTCATTTGTTTGAGACAGTCTCTTTTGTGTCCTCATGTGAGTTAAAATTTTCTGTTGTCTCCAGGGCATTGTGGGGTTGTTGTATTGATGATTATATGCTGATTTTTTCACCTTAGGCTCTCATCAACTGTCTCCTGTAGGTGTAGTTAGAGAAGTGTGTACACTGTTTTGGTTCACCATTCGTGCATCTCTGTTTAGGATAGGTTTTGCTGATGTTGGTTGCCGCCTATCATTTATCTGATGGTGTAGGAGCTGGTATTAGCTCTTGCCCAATGCATGGAGTTACAGAGGATACGGTTGTGGCTGATATGTATGGGCATGGTTGTTGTCTCTTGTCAGGTAGTAAAGAGAAAACCCGTATATATACACACACACACAAAACACAATAAACACACAAGGGACCAACAATGGAAAGAGAAAATAATAAAGAGAAAAAATAAATCAAAACGGGCAGCAATCAGAAAAAAAAAAAAGAATGTAAGTATAAAGACAAAAGAGGGAAAGGAAATGGAGGTATAAAAGAGAAAAATAAGAACAAAAATAAAAGGAAGATATAAAATAACACTTGTTGTTGTTGTTGTTAGGTGCCATCGAGTCTGTATTGACTCATAGAGACTTTATGCACAACAGACTGAAACACTGCCCAATCCTGGGCCAACCTAGTAATTACTGCCATACTTGAGCCCATTGATGCTGCCACTTTGCCAAGAGGGACAGGAAAATGGAGTTATTGAAGAGGAAAATAAGAAAGGGCATAAAAGAAAGAAAATTTTTTTAATACTTAGAAAACCAGGGAGAAGGAAGATGAAAAGAAAAAGAAAGAGAGTAGTAAAGAAAGATCAAAATGGGAAAAATAAGAGAGGAAATGAGAAATAGAAGGAGGAGAAAGAATAAACAAACAAAAACAATGAAACAAACAAACAAAAACCAAAACCAACAAAAAGAAAACAGTGTAGCTGTTGGACCTGGAAAGGAAACAATGCAGGGTGTGGGTAAGCAAGGAACTCATGAGGTGGGTACCAGAGTTCCTGGCCCTAGATGGAGTTCCT